GGGGGGGGGTGAGTATCGCAACAGCCACACCCGCACTGACGTGGCTTCAACTGGTCAGCCGGTTGGCGCGATCAATGCAAACTAACGACAAACGACGCACACCTGCAGAAGCCCAAGATCGCCCACAGGCACCCGCAGGTGCCGAGTAGAAGAGCCACCAGGAAGAGCACGAACATTCCCACGGCGGCAGCCGACGCGTCCGATGCGGGGGGGTTGACGACCAGCTGCACGTCGCTGTTGCTGGCTTCCTCCGTGATGGGCGAGATGGAAGTCGCGCTGAACTGGAGAGACGAGAACTGGACCTGCTTGCGGGTAACGTCCCGCGTGCGAGAGGACACGAGAAGGGGGGTTTAGGAGGGGGGACGAGAGACCTTATCAACGAAAACATCCACGTATAGACAGGGGACACATAAATGTGCACATCCCTCTGAACAACACACCAACCCATTAACCATGTACACGGAGGACCGATACCAGACACAAAAGAGTCTTCTCGAGACCCCCCCAAAAAAAGAAAGAAAACTCACGTCCTCCGAGTCCACGCCCAGCGCTTCCGAAACCCGACCGTAGTTGTTCTGGAAGTAGTTGATGGACTGGATAAGGCCAGAGGTGGTGGGTCCCGGCACGGTCACCACGAAACCTGCGTCGCTGGTTTCGTCCAGACGCCTCCGCAGGTAGTAGAAGCCCTGTGTGGTGTCGGTGAGCAAAGAACAAAAAAGCAAAACAGAGACGCCACATAAAAAGAGGAGAACGATGTGTGCCCAATCGCTGTGCACGATTTATCACAGCGATGTGCCAGAAAAAGCGGTGCGCATGAGACTTGCCTCCCCTCCCATGCAAAATAAGACGTCGTAACATGACGACCCACAAGGACAACGCGGCGGTCACCTTCTCAAAGGGGGCGATATCGGTCACCAAACAACCACCGCACAGACAACAGCCGGGAAGGCAACTAACCCTGGCGGCCTCTGTACACTCACCTCTGTGGGGCTCACGCTCGTCGAGTTCCACTCCTCTGTCAGCCAGCCTCCCAAGGACCTCCGGGTGAATTCGACTTCGGGGCAGCTACATCGAACCTGCGTGCAATTGAAATGCGGTCATCGGGAGGACACAACGTTTCGTTCCGCCGACATGTTGTCAAGGCCACCGGCAAATCCCCCTTACGGGGCCGGAGAGTAAATATCAGAGCCGTAAGCACGTGGAATGGGATTACAAAACCCGAACATGTCACCACACGCGGGACTATTCTTTTTCCTGCAAAAACTCACCAGGTAAGGCTGAACGTCGAAAGCGTTCGCGAGCCCGACCTCGCACCCGTCCTCGCACTGCTCCACCGCCGCCTCCGTCATTGTCAGCACCCCGCTCACGCTCGGTGCATTCGTCGAAGGCGCGGGCGTGGCCACCGGCACCGGAGTCGGCACCGGAGCTCGCGTGCTCCCCGGGGCCAGCGGCGCCGGCGTCGGCTGCGTCGCGGGCGCCGATGTTGGCGGCAGCTGGTCCGGCGGCAGCACCGGCGCCGGTGTCTTGGGGATATCCGCCGGGTCGACAGGCGCCCTGGTGCTGGCTAACGTCGGGGCGCCGGGGACTACCGGCGCCACGATGGGAGCGGCCGGGCGGGCTGTGCCGCCGGCGATCGGGACCGGCGTCGGGATGCCGGCGATGGGGAGGTCTCTGGCGGCGGGAGCGGCGGTCTGTCCGGGGGGCAGGGGGACCACCGGCGCTAGCGCCGGCTCGGCCGTAGGCGCCCCCGGGACCGCGGCGGGCGATGTGGTAATCGTAGCCGTAGGCGGCGCGCCGACCACAGGGGCCGGCGGGGGCGAGGGAACCACGGCGGCCGGAGGCGGCGAAGGCACCACGGCTATCGGGTCCACGGTGGGCTCCTGTCCGATTGTTGCTGAGGGAGCGGCGACTTCGAGCGGGCGGGAGGTGGCGGAGGAGGGGCCGGAAAAACCACAAGTCAAAATCTTCTCGGAGTCGGCAGACTTACCGGTACCAAGATAGAACGCTAGCATAGAAGGGGTGGCGACGGACGCAGCGGCCGATGTTAACAAACACGCGCCAGGACCGTGCCTGTGCTTAAAAGTTGCCGTTTCGCAGACAGCGTGCGAGAAAAACACGATGCATACCAAGCGTTCATGAACAAGTGGCGAGACCTGAAAAAAAAAAAACGAGCGATGACACCGTTCTTTCTCCTGCTTACCTGGAGGGACGCTCGGCTGTACCCCAATCACAGGCTCAGCACTCGGCGCCTGGAACAATACAGCCGAAATACACACAGAATGCGCAGGGCGGTGCGGTGCGAGACATTTGAGGTTAACGACAGAGATCCCGTACCTGACTTCTTGCCACAATCTAGCCGTGCAGCAACAAACCAAAAAGGTCATGACACAAGCCCAACGTCATCATATCCGTGCGTATCGTAATGCCGGCGCACCTCCCACCAACCAAAAACATACCCGACACCGTCACCAGAGGCACCCATTTGTTTCGGGACAAAAACCAGCACGATCGATACTTGACGGCGTTGTTGTCCGCACGGAGAACAAATGGTCTCCGCTCAGCGTCTTCAGACATCCGTACTGGTTACAGACGAACAGACCACCAAGAGGGGGCATAAACCGATAGAAATCAACGCAACAGTGTAAATAAAAAAAAAGAAAACACACACACACCAGAGCGGTCGGAGCCGTGGCAGGGGGAACCGTCGTCCCCGGTGCCACTGGCTGGGTCGTCCCTGGTGCCACTGGCTGGGCCGCATCCACAGGCGCATTTGTCAAGGCCCCAGAAGCTGTAGGTGGCGCCACAACAGGCTGCAGCGAATCGGAAGCAGCGGGAGGTTCAGGAGGTGTTGCGACAGGCAACAGGGTCGGGATTACTGGGGTCGGGGCAACAGCGGGGGTTTCGGATACAGGCGTTGGTGCCGAAACCGGTTGTGTTGTCCCCGAGGCAGGGGGCGCGGTCGCTGTCGGGGTTGGTGCCGTAACCGGTTGGGTCGTCCCCGTGGCAGGGGGTGCGGTCGCTGTCGGGGTTGGTGCCGTAACCGGTTGTGTTGTCCCCGTCGCAGGGGGTGCCGTAACTGTCGGAGTTGGTGCCGTAACCGGTTGTGTTGTCCCCGTGGCAGGGGGCGCGGTCGCTGTCGGAGTTGGTGCCGAAACCGGTTGTGTTGTGCCCGAGGCAGGGGGCGCGGTCGCTGTCGGGGTTGGTGCCGAAACCGGTTGTGTCGTCCCCGAGGCAGGGGGCGCGGTCGCTGTCGGGGTTGGTGCCGAAACCGGTTGTGTCGTCCCCGAGACAGGGGGCGCGGTCGCTGTCGGGGTTGGTGCCGAAACCGGTTGTGTCGTCCCCGAGGCAGGGGGCGCGGTCGCTGTCGGGGTTGGTGCCGAAACCGGTTGTGTCGTCCCCGAGACAGGGGGCGCGGTCGCTGTCGGGGTTGGTGCCGAAACCGGTTGTGTCGTCCCCGAGGCAGGGGGCGCGGTCGCTGTCGGGGTTGGTGCCGAAACCGGTTGTGTCGTCCCCGAGACAGGGGGCGCGGTCGCTGTCGGGGTTGGTGCCGTAACCGGTTGTGTTGTCCCCGTGGCAGGGGGCGCGGTCGCTGTCGGGGTTGGTGCCGAAACCGGTTGTGTCGTCCCCGAGGCAGGGGGCGCGGTCGCTGTCGGGGTTGGTGCCGAAACCGGTTGTGTCGTCCCCGAGACAGGGGGCGCGGTCGCTGTCGGGGTTGGTGCCGAAACCGGTTGTGTCGTCCCCGAGGCAGGGGGCGCGGTCGCTGTCGGGGTTGGTGCCGTAACCGGTTGTGTCGTCCCCGTGGCAGGGGGCGCCGTAACTGTCGGGGTTGGTGCCGTAACCGGTTGTGTTGTCCCCGTCGCAGGGGGTGCCGTAACTGTCGGAGTTGGTGCCGTAACCGGTTGTGTTGTCCCCGTGGCAGGGGGCGCGGTCGCTGTCGGAGTTGGTGCCGAAACCGGTTGTGTTGTGCCCGTGGCAGGGGGCGCGGTCGCTGTCGGGGTTGGTGCCGAAACCGGTTGTGTCGTCCCCGTGGCAGGGGGCGCCGTAGCTGTCGGGGTTGGTGCCGCAGCCGGCGGCTCTGTTCCTGTCGCGGGAGGGGTGGTGACCGTTGGCGTCGGTGCTGTGGCAGGGGGCGCGGTCGCTGTCGGGGTTGGTGCCGTGACCGGTTGTGCTGTCCCTGTGGCAGGGGGCGTCGTGACTGTTGGAGTTGGAGCCGCAACAGGAGCCGCAGCAGGTGGCGATGTCCCAGTGACGGGGGGCGCCGTAACCGTTGGTGTCGGCGCCGCGACCGGTTGTGTTGTGGCCGTGGAGGGTGGCTCCACGGGAGCCGCTGCAGGTTGAGTTGTCGCCGTTGGCTGAAGTGAAGCATCGTTCGATGCGGGTTGATGCCGAAGAAGATTAACAACAATATGTAGCATTTGTTTCGATGAGTTCGGCGTTGATCGCAGTCGGTATTGGTCGTCGCGAGGGGGGGAGGGGGGGAGGGGGGGATTGCCACGGGGGGTGGGGTGTTGTGCGGGGGTGTCGTGTTCACGGTTGAAGATGCGGGACCAGGCATTGGCGAATCGAATAGAATTCGCAGGAACAGATAAAACAGCGGAGCGAGCGCGCGTGCGTTAGGGGGCGAGGGGTGACAAAGACGCGCAAAGCTAACCGCACCGCCATCGCCACAGCCGCCACCAACACGGCCGCCCACGGGCCTCTGCAACGACTACAGACGCACCAACAATCGGTCCCTACCCCGAACTATCGGTGAAGCACGAGGCAACGCAACTCATCACGTCCGAAAAAGGCGAACTTCAATACTCCGCCCACGTACCTCGACCGACGTAGGAGGCTGGTCTACCGGTCCCTGCGTAGGAATCGTCGGTGCCGGCGGTGCCTGTCATCATACAAAACACCAGGGCAATGTAGGCGGTAGAGTGCATAGGCGGGAACGAGTTATAAACCCAACGCAACGCGTCGACGTCACACGTATACCAGCACGCTCAACCACCGTGCAACTAAGCGCTTCAGCGTGAATCGCACTCGCCGTCATGTGACCTGCGTAGCATGCCGCAAGCTCCAACGTCTAGAGGCAAAACAGACACCAATGATGCCAATCCACCAATAAGGGCAGCGTACACGTTATCATCGACTCTTTCGTACGCAACCAGAAAACATGCGTCTATGAAAGGCCTGACTAACCAGGTCAATCCGACGACAATTCCTCGCACCTCCAGCATGCAAAACTTAACCAACGGGCTGCGCTAATACCGACATAAAACCCGAAAAAGATACTCTTCAATCGAAGACAACAAACACAGCGCGCACCAACACAGGTTGTTGAAAGACCGGTTGAGCGGTGGCAGGTGGGGTGTTTACGGTTGGTGTAGGTGCCGTTGCTGGCGGCGTTGTCGCCGTAGCGGGGGGGGCGGTTACTGTGGGTGTGGGTGCCGCAGCGGGGGGGGTGGTTAATGTCGGCGTTGGTGCCGTAGCGGGAGGGTTGGTTACTGTCGGCGTTGGTGCCGTAGCCGGCGGCGTTGTCCCCGTGGCGGGGGGCTCAGTAACTGTTGGCGTCGGCGCCGCAGCCGGCGGCGTTGTACCATTGGCGGGGGGCTCAGTGACTGTTGGCGTTGGTGCCGTAGCGGGAGGGTTGGTTACTGTCGGCGTTGGTGCCATAGCGGGGGGGTTGGTTACTGTCGGCGTTGGTGCCGTAGCCGGCGGCGTTGTCCCCGTGGCGGGGGGCTCAGTGACTGTTGGCGTTGGTGCCGTAGCGGGAGGGTTGGTTACTGTCGGCGTTGGTGCCATAGCGGGGGGGTTGGTTACTGTCGGCGTTGGTGCCGTAGCCGGCGGCGTTGTCCCCGTGGCGGGGGGCTCAGTGACTGTTGGCGTTGGTGCCGTAGCGGGAGGGTTGGTTACTGTCGGCGTTGGTGCCATAGCGGGGGGGTTGGTTACTGTCGGCGTTGGTGCCGTAGCCGGCGGCGTTGTCCCCGTGGCGGGGGGCTCAGTGACTGTTGGCGTTGGCGCCGTAGCCGGCGGAGCGGTTACTGACGGCGTCGGCGCCGCAGCTGGCGGCGTTGTACCTGCGGCGGGGGGCTCAGTAACTGTTAGCGTCGGCGCCGTAGCCGGCGGCGCTGTACCCGTGGCAGGGGGCTCAGTAACTGTTGGCGTCGGCGCCGTAGCCGGCGGCGTTGTACCATTGGCGGGAGGCTCAGTGACTGTTGGCGTTGGAGCCATAGCGGGGGGGTTGGTTACTGTCGGCGTTGGTGCCGTGGCCGGCGGCGTTGTCCCCGCGGCGGGGGGCTCAGTAACTGTTGGCGTCGGCGCCGTAGCCGGCGGGGCGGTTACTGACGGCGTCGGCGCCGCAGCTGGCGGCGTTGTACCTGCGGCGGGGGGCTCAGTAACTGTTGGCGTTGGCGCCGTAGCAGGGGGGGCACTTACCGTCGGCGTCGGTGCCGTAGCTGGCGGCGCTGTCTCCGTGGCGGGCGGCTCCGTAACTATTGGTGTTGGCGCCGCAACGGGGGGGGTAGTTACCGTCGGCGTTGGTGCGGCAGCTGGAGGCGTTGTACTCATGGCGGGGGGCTCAGTCACAGTTGGCGTTGGCGCCGCAGCAGGGGGGGTAGTTACCGTTGGCGTCGGTGCCGCAGCCGGCGGCGTTGTACTCGCGACGGGGGGCTCGGTAACTGTTGGCGTCGGCGCCGCAGCAGGGGGGGTAGTTACCGTTGGCGTCGGTGCCGCAGCCGGCGGCGTTGTACTCGCGACGGGGGGCTCGGTAACTGTTGGCGTCGGCGCCGCAGCAGGGGGGGTAGTTACCGTTGGCGTCGGTGCCGCAGCCGGCGGCGTTGTACTCGCGACGGGGGGCTCGGTAACTGTTGGCGTCGGCGCCGCAGCAGGGGGGGTAGTTACCGTTGGCGTCGGTGCCGCAGCCGGCGGCGTTGTACTCGCGACGGGGGGCTCGGTAACTGTTGGCGTCGGCGCCGCAGCAGGGGGGGTAGTTACCGTTGGCGTCGGTGCCGCAGCCGGCGGCGTTGTACTCGCGACGGGGGGCTCGGTAACTGTTGGCGTCGGCGCCGCAGCAGGGGGGGTAGTTACCGTTGGCGTCGGTGCCGTGGCCGGTGGAGTTGTCACCGTGGTAGCGGGGGGGTCGGCAACTGTTGGCGTTGGCGCCGTGGCCGGTGGAATTGTCACCGTTGTGGCGGGGGGTTCGGTAGCTGTTGGCGTTGGTGCCGCGGCCGGTGGCAAAGTAGCAGTAACGGGGGGCGCTACGGGCTGTGGTGCAACGGTAGGCGCGGGGGGCGCATCTACCGGGGGGGGTGTCGGAGTGACTGGAGCGTCCACTGGCGTGGCCGTTGTTACCGGTGTCGGTGGTGTGACCGGGGGTTCTGTAGCCGTGGGTAATTCTACAGGAGTTACCGTCGGTGTAACGGGCGGCTGGAGAGTGAGGCCGTAGTAGCGCGGAGCAACAACGAGCGGTACGGGAGCACAAAAGTTCCGTGAAATTGAATAGAGAGTTTCGCGACGCGAACAGAGAAAATGCCTGCGAGCGAGTCAACGACGTTGCCACATACGCACCGGAGCAGCAGCTCAAAGACTGCTTTGGATTCAAGGGGTAACAATATCGCTTGCTCTTGCCAAAAATGAGCAACGCCGGCAGCGTAACATGTGTTTGCCGAAGGCGGGGTCGCGAGGGGGACAAACAACACACCGGGATTCGAAATCACATCCCACCGACGCCCCATGAAACAGACCTGCACTGGTTCCACCGTCGGGGTCGGCGGCACCAAGGGCGCATCCACCGGAGCCTGTGGACGAATAAAGAGTGTTCGAGTCGACCAAGATGACCCGACAACGCACGAGAGCAGGGGGAAGGAACGGGACATGAAAGGGTTACTAAATACAGAGGAAAGAGGGGGAAAGTCAAACAGCACATTGGTGCAAACTCTCCGAAGGCGGCTAACATCGCGTATGCTATTCGCTGCTGTTGGCCACGTTCTTTTTTGTTTTTTTGTTGGGGTGGGGGGGGGGGGGGGG